GAAAGGTTTTTTTAATTAAATAATATACCGTCGGAAATCCGTCGGTTATGTAAACCGTCGAAAATCCGTCGGTTAAGTAAACCGTCGGAAATCCGTCAGTTTACTAAACCATCGGAAATCCGTCGGTTTACTAAACCGTCGGAAATCCGTCGGTTTACTAAACCGTCGGAAATCCGTCGGTTTACTAAACCGTCGGAATTCCGTCGGTTTACTAAACCGTCGGATTTCCGTCGGACCTCCGTCGGACAAAGATATACTGACGGTTTTCCGACATCTTTCCGACGGATTCTTGGCCGTCGAAAATCCGTCGGAAATTCCGACGGATTTCCGACGGAATTTCTATTTCCGACGAGATAGAAACGACCGACCAAAATCGTCGGAAAACTGTCGGAAAAGGGCATTTTCCGACGGAATTCCGACGGTTTTGGTCGTCGGAATTCCGTCTGTTTTCTTGTAGTGATTGTAGATATTGAGACCACTTAGAGCCATTGGTTCAGACTTCACCAGAGTCTTGATGTCGCTTATAAACTCTTTTACTTTCTCAATAGGTATTATGAACGTGGCTGGTGAAAAAATTGGCCTTTTATGCGGGGATCCCATGGACAAGCCGTGGCTAATAACATAAAGAATTAAGTTCACTAATCGATTTAACATATAATTTTTTTAATATATAAACATGTTTGAAAAATTATATGATTTTTAATATCTACAAACATACAAAATAGATATGTATTATGCATAAATATAATAAAACTGAATACTTATTATCAAGAATATGTTAATGCCATTAGTTTTGATATTTATTTTATTTATTTTTTTGGTCAAAGTTTTGATATTTATATGTGTAAAAATTACCAAAACATATACAAATGTTACTTATTTCAATATCTTTTAAGTGTAAATATCTCATTATATCTTAATTATGCTTTATGTTTTTCGTTAAGCTTTATAAAAATGATCAAAATATTAAGCCTTTGCATTTTTGTTTGATTAAATCTATTTTGTGTTTTGCTTATATTTTACTTATGTTTTGCTTGGAAAACAAATTCTTCCAATTTTATTTAAAATATAAAAATCTGTTAAAATAGAAGTAGAAAAAATACATAATCTATTTGTTTTGTCACTAAACAAAAATATACCATGATTTGCTTATATGATTTATCATGATCAGCTAATGTTTGTTTACAT